CCCACCTTCCTCTAAGCTCCCTTGCCATAGGCCAAACAACTTTATTTATCAACCAATCAGAGCAATACATATTTGCAGCATACAGAAAGACATTCCCCCATCACTTCCCCTTTTCTGTCTAAACAAAAGGAAGGTCTTAACTTCAACATAGTAAAATTACATTTAACAAAAACAATTATCAAGCAAGAATTACAGTTGCAATATCCAGTCTATTTATACTTTGAAAATTCAAAGAAAATATTCTATTTATCCTGTATTTGTGAGTCTAAAGTCTCATATCCAATTTATCTTTTATAATAACCAAGGAAAATTATAACTATCTAGGCTTCAACTACATCAAAGACCTCAGAAGGATATAATATTACCCAAGTAAACAGGAAGTGCATTGTAAGCAACTTCCAAAAATCTAGAATGACAGAGACAGCTGGTTGCCTGGACAGTCAACCAAAGTTCTTCTGCAATGTTGGGGCATCCATAATCTATAGTTCAGATTTTAATTGGTTCCTACTTGAGAAATTTGCTCTGGGAAATCTCACAAATTCTCCTAAGTATCATTGTCACCTGAGGCATCATCCTCTCCTTTAGTCTGCAGTTTGTAACCATCATACTCAGTCTGTTATCAATTCCACTAGCTTTCCCCACTTAATTATTCACTGACCCCATTTTCTTCTGTCTCTACTCACTTGGACCTTAGTCTAAGACTACACTGTCTTCTGTCATGATCATCACATTAGCCTCTTAATCAGCTTCCTCAATTCTAATCTTATCCTCTAACTAGTGATTACAGTGGAGAGAGAGAGAGAGAGAGAGAGAGAGAGAGAGAGAGACAGAGAGAGACAGAGAGACAGAGAGACAGAGAGACAGAGAGACAGGTCTTTCTGAAATACAGGCTTGATCAGTCAAGTCTTTTTAGGGACTTCCCATCAGCTTTATGGTACATAACATATTTCCTATGGCCTTCAACTTCACCTGATTCTCTTTCCTCTTCTGCAGCCTTGTTTGTGCTACTCTCTCTTCTTGTAGGCTATTTTTCTTCCAAACATGTCGTTCTTTCTTTCATCAACAATCTACTTTCCCCCAACTCTATTCAGTGCATACATATGAATTCTTAGTTCTCAGCTTAGAATGCATTTTCTAAGGGATTTTTTTTTTACTTCTCATCCCTCAACTCAAACAATATTAGGACTATGTATTGTAAGATCTCATTATGGTCTGTATGCTTCCATTCTAGAGCCTGTCACTGTCTGCCATTATTTTTGTCAGTATTTGTCTGATATCTGCCATTTTATTAGAATGTAAGTCTTATGTGAAGGGTCACTTGTTATTTTTTTTTTTTTACCCATCATACCCAGTGTCTGGAGATACAGTGTATTATGTTAGATGGATGAATAAATGTTCTTGTGAGGAGATATTAAAAAGAATACTAGCAATATAGTAAGAAATTAGTTATGTAAAGTGTATATGAGAATAGGAAGAAGAGCTCTGTGAGCAGCTGTTTCTTTGGGTTATAATACTGTATAGTATATAGGTAATGTATTTATTCCTTGTGATATTCACTTCTTACCCAGTTTTCTATGGTGCTAATTTAGTTTTTAAAAATATTCTTATTTAAAACATATCTGTTTTATGAACACTTTAAAATATTAATAGGAAATAGTTATTAAGATAACTCAAAATCTTACCCAGTAGTCCTTATAATATGTGGTCTGATCATATTCTGTTAGTGCAAGGGCTGCTAAGTGTCCACTGTCTCACAGATGATCAAAAAATTTCTGCATCTGCTTAAGATTTCCCTTATATTGGTAAAGATGTTTCATAACATAATGGAAATTGAAGGAAACAGCAAGCAGATCCTCAATTCATTTAAGGAAATTTATTAAAATGAAATCATACCTACCCAAAACTTATTGAAGAGGTCACTGATCAATTTTTAAAAAAATGACTCTTTGCATTATACTTGACAGTGAATAGTTACTTCACTTTCCATTTGCTACCTCACTTTAAAAAAATATAAAATAGTAGAGAACTGGCATACCTTCATAGTTAGCCATGGTTCCCATGGTTCATTGAGAAACCTGATCTTAAAATCATTTGTAGCTTAGTCACAGGTCTGTTGCAAACTCCCTTCCTGCCATTTGAGAAACACCAACACATTATCCTTGTCACTCACTTTACTTTTGCCTTTGTGAACAAGGAAAAATGCTTAAAATAGTTCATGTGATGCCTTTTTATTAGCATTTGAACAGAAAAAAAACCTTGCTGTGGTTTTTAAATGCAAGATAAAATTTAGCTCTTATTTTATTATCTAGAACTAGTCATTTGATCAATTGCTTACCCTTTGTCAACCCCATATCATAAACCTTGACTTTCTTTAGATTTTGGTTCTAGTAGAAAGAATAAGAAAGAAAAACATGCAATTTCCCAGTCTGCCAGTAGCAAGCAACAGATAATTTCTTGCTCTGTGCATGTACTGTTTAATGTAGTAGCCACCAGTCATGTGTGTGTTTGGCTATGAAATTCTTGGCCAGTAATTAGTAGGATTGTGGCTCATTATTGTGAATTTAAAATTTAAAATAGCAGCTTTATTGATATAAAATCATATGATTAGCCCTCATAAGGGTTTAACTAAGTGAATTTTAGAGTTTTCATAGCTACACAACCAATCATTACTACCAAATTCTGAGAATTTTCATCAATCTTTCAAAAAATATCCAAATTCATTAGTTATTCCTCATCTTCTCCCAACTTCTCCAGCCCTAGGTAGCCACTATATTTTCCATCTCCAGGGATTTATCTATTTTGGGCATTTCATATGAATAGAATTATGAAGTGTCATCTTTATGTTATTTGCTAACATAAATTTAATAACTGTATGTGCCTAGGAACTGCCATACGATCAACTGAAGTAAAAAGACCAAAGACGGAGTGCTAAGGGGTGATGAAAACCTTGCAAGGAGGCCCATAGACAATGAACAAGACAGGGAGATGGGAGAGAATACGAGCAGAACCTGGAAATAAGGCAGGGACCTGCGAAGGTGACAGACAACTGTCCAGAGCAGTCAAGGAGGTACCGATTCAATATAGTGACAGGGTAATACAGTGGCAAAGGTTTGACAGTACAGTGTTGTGCACAGGTATAGGTAGGTTCCATTTTACTGGCACATAGAAGTGGAGGAAAGGAACAAAAATTCATGTTGTGTTGTGTTGATATTTTCAGTGGAGGCAGAAGACATAAATTCTGAGGAAGAGAAGAGACTAGAGCTGATTGAGCAAAGGATGTGCTCAAATTTAGTACAGAGGTCACCAGTGTAGAAGTAACACCTGCAAGATTAGAGAGAAGACATTCTTCTCAAAAGAAGTGCCTAGTGAAGGAAAGCAGGTGAGGTTGCAGAGCAAAGCTGACCCAGGAAGAAAGGAAATTCAAAGAGCTTGTTGAGAAAGAACTGACTGATTGGGCAGTTGAGGGTAAAGCTTGACTTCTCCAATTACACTAAGGTCACATGTGGGGGAAAGTGGGTGGAAAAGATCTCCAGTAGAGCTGGGCTGTTTGGTGGTGAAACTGCTAATCTGAGGGTCTGTTTCTGTCCATCTGAGCCTATCCCTAGAGAGCAGCTGACAATTTTATGTGTTTGAATCTTGATGTGTTGGTTTTTACTGCTAAAGAATGAAAATCACCCAGAAGTTTACACATGAAATCCTCAAAGAGCAATGCAGCTCCCAACTCCTCATTTTCTCTCTTCTTCCTTTCTCTTCCTTTTCCTCCCTCCCTCCCCTCCCTCCCTCCCTCCCTGACTCCCTCCCTCCCTCCCTCCCTCCCTCCCTCCCTCCCTCCCCTCCTTCCCTTCTCCTCCTCCTCCTCCTCCTCCTCCTCCTTCTTCTTCTCTCTCTCTCTCTCTCTCTCTCTCTCTCTCTCTCTCTCTCTCTCTCTCTCTTCCTTCTTTCTTGGGGTGTTGTGGCACACACCTTTTAAAAATTTATTTTTGGCCGGGCGGTGGTGGCACACGCCTTTAATCCCAGCACTCGGGAGGCAGAGCCAGGCGGATCTCTGTGAGTTCGAGGCCAGCCTGGACTACCAAGTGAGTTCCAGGAAAGGCGCAAAGCTACACAGAGAAACCCTGTCTCGAAAAACCAAAAAAAAAAAAAAAAAAAAAAAAATTTATTTTTGTTTATTTAATGTGCTTTGGTATTTTGCCTGCATGTATGTCTGTGTGAGGATATCAGATTTTGGAGTTACAGACAGTTGTTAGCTGCCATGTGGGTTCTGGGAATTGAACCCCAGGCCTCTGGAAGAGCAGTCAGTGCCCTTATCCCCTGAGCCATCTCTCCAGCCTCTTTTCAATTGGTGGGGAGATGGAGGCACAGCTCGAAGCTGTTGCCCTCAGCAGCCCGAAAAAAGCCCTTAATCTTTAGGAGTCTTGTCTCATGTAAAACTGAATCTTTGGCTTTGATGCAGGAAAGCGTCAAGTCTGAAGCTGAGTTGGAATTTATTAAAAATACTTTGGAATAGATTTTAAGCACAAGAGTTAAGAGAAAGGAGGGCACTATGGGAGAAAGTAGACACACCCAAGAGTTTCACTCCTTTTTTTCCTCCATCTATTTTTCTTACTCTTTATTAATAGTTGTACTTTTTGCTGTACAAAGTTCTACAAGTGAGAATGAAAACCAAGAAAACACAAAACTTTGAAATATCAAAAATCAATCTACAGTGTAATGAAAGTAGAATTTCAAGTCATGAGACATTTTCTTAAATTTTTTGTCACTTTTTCCCCAACATTGTAGAAGTTAGTAGAAGAGCTGGGAAGCAGCTTGAAAGTCTTAAATGAAAAAAAAAAAAGATGCAGTTATAAAAGATATGCACTAGGTTGCTGTTGAATTGATGAATAGCATCATTTAAGTATATTAAGCTTTCAATATAGAATTATCAGGAATTTAAGCTAATTTTCTGGTCTTGCCCATGTACAGACATACACTTACATATGTATTTGTTGTATCTTTTTAAGGCTTTTAAAACCAAGGACGGCTACCTTGTAATTGGAGCAGGAAGTAACCAGCAGTTTGCTGTTGTATGCAAGGTAATCCATAATCACCAGAATGGGTGGGTGGCAGGTTCAACTGTTCATTTTTTTACAAACTGAGGGAGAGTTCCACTTTGCCTGACAGTATTGCTCAATCGTAACTACTTCAGTTTCCTGTGTTAACACCTGAAAGCACACCACTTGATCCAAATGGTGAGGCTTAGGTCTGGTCAGCACTCCCCTTTCTTCGTTTCCTTCTTTCTTTCCTTTTTGCATTTTGTATGCTTATTTATGTGTACATACCAAGGTATGCATGTGGAGGTATCCTTCCACCTCGTGGGTCCTGGAGAATTTTTGTTGTTGTTGTTTTGTCCTTTTTTGATGTAGTATCTATTTTAAATGAAAATTTTTAACTTAAAATTTTCTCAATTAAAAAATTAAATCTTATTAAAAATATAATTATATCATTGCCCTTTCCTCCCTCCAATCCTTCTCGTGTCCCTTCTCAGTCCCCCTCAAATGGCCTCTTTTTCTTTGATGATTGTTGTTACATATATATATGTATGTATATATACATATACATATATATATATACATACATACACACACATACACACATTTATAATACTTTTCTCAATTTTAGAGGGATTTTTGGTCCTGGAACTCTTCTCCTTTTCTCTCTACCTCCCCCATCCTTCCCTTTCCTCTATATCATATTTAATTAGGCACAAATATAATTGAAGTATTTGCAAATTAACTTTATTTTCTGCTAGAAATTTTAAGACTTTTTCAGTTACCTTTGTTTAATGAATAGCTTTCTGTGGAATTCGTGCTTAAATATTGTAGGAGTAAAAGTTATATTAGAAATATTTCTGCTCTGCAGGGTCCGAGAAAGCCTTGAAATACTTGGACCAATTTAGGTTAGGAATATGCTAAATTTTCAGCCTTGCCTAGACAGTTTTTAATGTTTTCATCTTTTATCTCGATTTTAGATCTTCTGTTTTAAGACCTTTTTAGAAGTACAGAATTTTGAAAATTTCAAAGTGTCACTTCACTTTTACTAGTTTAAATCCAAGAAATATAAGCTAGTTAAGATATATTTGTTTTTATTTTTATTTACTTTTTGCACACAGACAAAGGTTTCACCTATCAAAACCGTTTTCCTCCCCGAGCAAGGATTAGAGTTTTACCGCCTGTGTGACCATACACTTTCTGTCTTATTAAGGATTCTTGAACTCCTCAGAGGATTCATTTTCACTATAGTGGTTAACTTACTATGTACAAGAATTATTTATTATGGTGCCTCTTTTGTGTGAGAGGTTAACAAGCAGAGTCAAAGCCACAGTGCAGAGGTGGGAAGTAGCCTAGAAAAAGTGACCAGTGGCTAGACCGTTCTGCCTGCAGGAAGGGCTGGCATAGCTGAGGTGGAAGGGGAAGCTTTCATAATTGTGACTCGGGGAGTGTAGAGAAAATTGATTCCAACATTTGATCTGGGATCAAAGAACCTTTATTACAAATGGTCAGCTTTAAAAATATGAACCATACGGAAACTGTTGCCTGAGAAGTCATTTACGTACTCAACTGCAGAGATGGAAACTGCAGCTCTCCTCTAAACAAGTCCAGATTTGCCTTCTGTGCCATGTGTTTGGAGCCCCACCCCCAGACCCTGCCCCTCTCCCTCACTGTCCCGCTCCCTCTCTCCCCAAGTTCTTCATTGTTTTGTTTTGTTTTTTAATTTTTGATTCACTTCTGCTGATTACTTTGAGATGTTTAAACTTCTTCATAAGTATCTGTAAGAACACTTTTTGAAAAAGACCTTTATTTCAAAGCAGAATATTTACTACATATTTTAGTACTAAAATATGACTTACTGTTATGATATGCTTGCACATTGCTTCAAAAGGGAGACTGTCATAGGGCCTTAGATAATGGCATGTTTGACTTTGATTTTCCCATATGTGAGTTAGGAATGATAATCCCTGCTATGAGCCATCAAAGCAGTGCCTGTAAAAATTCTGAGACCTTGGAGGAAATGTGTGGAGGGTTTCAGTGTTTTGTAGGTCATTTGCTGGATTGGCTGAGTGAGTGCTGCAGTTTGATCGACATTTTCAATCTTTGTAATTATGTCATGACATGTAAACTTGTACAACACTTCTTTTCATCCAAGTTAAAAAAGTTTTGTATTTCTACTTGAATACAAGCTCTCTTTTCTTACCAGTAATACATAAAGAATAAATTTCTAGTTCTACTTCACTCACACTTACCCGTTAGGGATGGCTCATGCAAACTAGCCTCACAAAAGTGAGCCCAAGTCAGATTTTTTAGGAAAGTCACAATAGCTCTGCCTCCTAGGAGGGGAGGTGGCAACTGTCAGTGATGAATGGATGGGAAAGTAGAATTTGATATACTGGCCGACTAACACATTTTAAGGAGGAACCCTATCAAGAAGTCCTGGTTTTCAGGGTCCAGAGTCAGAGCAAAAATTCTAGGCTTGGGGTCAGAAATATACTGTTATATATAAAGTGAACCTTGGTTTGTGACAATTTCTATTTTATGTTCCTTAACATGATGCAAAGGAGCAGGGAAAGTGAGCATATGTAAGCTATTTTAAGCTGATTGATGCCAACATTTATGACTATTTCTATTTGAAGTATATTGACATACTCTTTATAGTTATTTAGACTGATGGTTTCCTTCACTGGGTACAGAAATGCATTGGTTTTCAACTTCAATATGCATGGAATCTCTGCATTCTCAAAGATTTGACTTTGGTGTGTTTGAGGTAGGGCACAGGAAACTTCAACTTTAATAAATTCTGTACTTGATTCGAGTGCAGGTGGTCTGGGTACATTATAGCATGATTCATATGGTCTCTACGAGTCTTGCTTCTAGTCAGATAACCTCTGGTAAAGTACTTAATCTTCTCTAAGCATCTGTTTCCTTCTGTGTTCAATGTAGATTGTAATATATAACTATTCCAACATATAGATTGTGGGGATTATAAGGGTTAGTTACATAAGCAAAGTGCAACATGTTCCTAGCTCACAGGAAGCACTTATTAACTGGCCTCTAAAATTTTGGGTATTATAATTCTGGTTCTAGGACAGACCCAGGTGACACACTTCCTTTTGCCCCTTTAACATAGCCCTGTGATAAGACCTGAGCACTTAAGACGGGGACTCTGCTTGAAGACTCTATGAGTAAACAGTGGGGGAGATTAAAGAATATCAGAATGTGAAGTTATTGTAAACTGGTAGCAGATCTACTGAGTTTCCTGTCTGGTTACTCTGTTACTTCAATTCAATGGAGCCTGAAGACTAAGTGTGGGCACCAGGCAAGGGAGCTGAGCTCCAGAGTTGCTCTTACGTTGTGTACAAGGAGAATCAAAGCTGAGCTGTGGTCTCCATACAGAGAACCTTCATTTTCCCTCCTCTGTACTTTCTTCTGTGCTAGCTGCTGAGCAAGCCCAGCACTATGGAGGGCAGAGGCCACACTGAGGAAGAGAAACTTTTCTTCACAGCTCAGCTCAGTCAAACAAAGGAGTGAGTCTGTTGCTGTTGACCTGTGTTCTGGCTGTTTGACTTCTGACTTAAAAGTGCACTGAAAGTGGGGTAACCCAAGAGAAGGGCTGCAGAGAGAAGGACTGCAGAGAGAAGGACTGCAGGGAGAAGGACTGCAGAGAGAAGGACTGCAGGGAGAAGGACTGCAGAGAGAAGGACTGCAGAGAGAAGGACTGCAGAGAGACTGCAGAGAGAAGGACTGCAGGGAGAAGGACTGCAGGGAGAAGGACTGCAGAGAGAAGGACTGCAGGGAGAAGTACTGCAGGGAGAAGGACTGCAGGGAGAAGGACTGCAGAGAGAAGGACTGCAGAGAGAAGGACTGCAGGGAGAAGGACTGCAGGGAGAAGGACTGCAGGGAGAAGGACTGCAGAGAGAAGGACTGCAGGGAGAAGGACTGCAGAGAGAAGGACTGCAGGGAGAAGGACTGCAGGGAGAAGGACTGCAGGGAGAAGGACTGCAGAGAGAAGGACTGCAGGGAGAAGGACTGCAGAGAGAAGGACTGCAGGGAGAAGGACTGCAGAGAGAAGGACTGCAGGGAGAAGGACTGCAGAGAGAAGGACTGCAGAGAGAAGGACTGCAGAGAGACTGCAGAGAGAAGGACTGCAGGGAGAAGGACTGCAGGGAGAAGGACTGCAGAGAGAAGGACTGCAGAGAGAAGGACTGCAGGGAGAAGGACTGCAGAGAGAAGGACTGCAGAGAGAAGGACTGCAGGGAGAAGGACTGCAGAGAGAAGGACTGCAGAGAGAAGGACTGCAGAGAGAAGGACTGCAGAGAGAAGGACTGCAGAGAGAAGGACTGCAGGGAGAAGGACTGCAGGGAGAAGGACTGCAGAGAGAAGGACTGCAGAGAGAAGGACTGCAGAGAGAAGGACTGCAGAGAGAAGGACTGCAGAGAGAAGGACTGCAGGGAGAAGGACTGCAGGGAGACTGCAGGGAGAAGGACTGCAGAGAGAAGGACTGCAGAGAGAAGGACTGCAGAGAGAAGGACTGCAGAGAGAAGGACTGCAGAGAGAAGGACTGCAGAGAGAAGGACTGCAGAGAGAAGGACTGCAGAGAGAAGGACTGCAGGGAGAAGGACTGCAGGGAGACTGCAGGGAGAAGGACTGCAGAGAGAAGGACTGCAGAGAGAAGGACTGCAGAGAGAAGGACTGCAGAGAGAAGGACTGCAGAGAGAAGGACTGCAGAGAGAAGGACTGCAGGGAGAAGGACTGCAGGGAGAAGGACTGCAGGGAGAAGGACTGCAGAGAGAAGGACTGCAGAGAGAAGGACTGCAGAGAGAAGGACTGCAGAGAGGAGGACTGCAGAGAGAAGGACTGCAGAGAGAAGGACTGCAGAGAGAAGGACTGCAGGGAGAAGGACTGCAGGGAGAAGGACTGCAGGGAGAAGGACTGCAGAGAGAAGGACTGCAGAGAGAAGGACTGCAGAGAGAAGGACTGCAGAGAGAAGGACTGCAGAGAGAAGGACTGCAGAGAGAAGGACTGCAGGGAGAAGGACTGCA